GGAGGATTTTAGGTAGGGATGATTTTAAGAAAATTTTAATTGACACACAGCTTCGAATATTTGGCTTTTAATTTGGTTTTATGGGGGTTTTTTGTTCTTTGATGTATTTTGTTTGTCTGTTTTAATATGCTGTGCACCGCCCTGAGTCCTACGGGAGAAGGGCGGTATATAAATTAAATTATTATTATTATTATTATTATTATTACAGTTAATAAAGTTATTGTAACAGAATCTTTAAAGCCTGTCACATCCTTTTCTACTTCCACATACACCTAACACAATAGCAATAGCAATAACACTTAGACTTATATACCATCCCGTTGTGCTTTACAGCATTCTCTGGGTAATTAACAATATCAGCATATTGGGCTCAACAATCTGGGTCCTCATTTTACCAATTTTGGAAGAACACAAGGCTGAGTCAACCTGGAGCTCTTTCAGAATTGAATTCCTGGCTGTGGGCAGAATTTCCCTGCAATGCTGCATTCTAACCACTGAGCCAACAGTTGTAATCAAGTTGTTTTGAGGATATTTTTTTATCATACTTTCTAGTTTTCTAGAACTGAGATACTTTTATATCAAAGGCTATATTTTCCTGCTATTCCATCATAACATTTCCTATCTTAAATTAAAAACCATCATGTTTGGTTTTTATTATTAAGCACATGATAAATTATGAAATCCACAAAGAATGGGAACTGAGTTTAATACAATATCTAGTGTGTAAAACGACAGTTTTCTCAATTCTGCTGGTAGGAAATACCCCTTGGAAAATATGACAATAGTGATTAGCTTTGGCTAAATGAGTTCTGACAGATAAAGGTTTTTTTATTTATTTTTATTGTTTTTAAATAGTGACAAAAAAGGGAAACTACAAATCACAAAGTTAATTATGGTAAAATATACACATTATCAAAGATAAAAAGAAATGGAAAATGGGTTCTTTTAAAAAAGTAAAAAAATACAATGTAGGGGAAAAACATGTATCATTTTAGCAGTAAATAATTACAATTCTTTATATGATTATCTAAAGCAATTCTAATTCGAGTACATAAATGTTTCTAAAATATTTATATAACTACATAATCATGTTTTAACCTACTATATTTTATATAAATGAGTTCCATATTTCGTTATATTTGTCCACACAAAGTCTGTGTTTATAGTCAAGCCACTCATATATAGTAACTGTAATCAGGACTTCAACCCATACATTTATCATTTCCAATGCCATAATATCAGTCTTTTGGCCATAGTAATGACACGGGGAACCCATCCACTCTCTTGTTATCTAGGCAATATAGGAACCTCTTCTTCTTGTGCCATATCTGTTATCGGACGTTGGCGATCCTGTTTTTATCAGCAGGCGCACGAAAAAGTGCTGCTGAGTTTTGTCAAACCAGTCCCTTAGATTTTGAACCTCACATTCTTTAATCCACTCATTTCTTAGCATCTGCATATCAGATTGATTTATTGATAACAAACATATATAAAAACTAATAGTAGGGTTTTATTTTAAAAGAATTAACAAGGTTGTTCTAGTATTTCAGGTGTTTCAAAAGCTGAGAATGCTGATGATCCATACAGTGTTGATAACAAGTTGTTACTGTAAATATTGCCATTGGGTTCTATCTGATGGATTATATTCATTCTTAACATACTATAGAGTGTAATAGAGTACGTGATGTAAGAAAATAAATAATATATTCATATGTTTTCATTGTCTCTTCCTAGATACACTGATCTCCTACTGGCAGAGGGCACCATTTACAGAAATAACAGATTTTTTCAGCATTTTAGAGTAAGCTCACTTTGAGGTTTGTTCTTCCAAGGCTGTTGTTGGTATTAATTAAATCAGAGGCAAATCTTATGCTAAAGAATAATTATACATTTCAATCCCCATATTTTTAAGTCTTTCAAAAGAAATGCATATCCCACCTAAAGTTATGCAGTTTAGCAATCTCTCCAATCTTCCATGAATGTTGATATCATGTGGATTTAAATTGTGAAATGTTAATGTTTTTTCTTTACTTAGTTAGTAAAGAATAAAAGAAAAAATCACAATGTACAGTCTAGAAGTATCATAGGTAATATTTCTTGTCTTCAGTCTTTTGTAACTTGAATAAAAAAAACTGCTTATCTTGTCATAGTAGAATAATGTAGAAATTTTATATAATTATGCCAGTGCTTCTCTTTTCCCATCCCATTTTAATTTTTAAAGCATCCATTTTTCTGTATTCATGAAATCTGACAATATTTCACAATCTTACACCCAGTTTTGCAAGCTTTGATTGATCACTGTTGGGAGTCGAATAACTAACTTACATAACTGTGTGTTTGTATGTGTTTGTGTGTGTGTTTGTGTGTTTGTGTGCAGTTGTGCAGCTGTGTATTTGTGTGTCTATATGTGGGTCTGTGGATGTGGGTAGGATCTATGGGTCTGGATCTGTGGATCTGAGTCTATCTGGGTCTATGTCCATCTGTATCTGTGTAGAATCAAATTCTGTCTATGGAAATCATGCATGCCACAATCTCTGAATGATGTCAAGACTGAGAAACATGTTCTAGACATTTTGGACTACAATTCTCATTATACCAGCCTTCATGTTATACTGCTGTTATTGTTAATCCTAATATAATTAAATTGGGGTGCAGATATAATTGAAATTGAAAAAGTCTGGTCTACCATCTCTTAAGTGACAAAATTATATATAGTAACCTAGAACTGAATTCTGTTCAACTGTGTTTACTTCTGTGTAAACAAGCGTGGTTTTTTTGTCAGTTTCTTCTTTTAGCACAACTTTGCATATTATTGTCATCATACATAGGGCTAGCTAACTATATATGAAAAAAATGTAGCAATATTCATTTGCCTTTTTATAAAAGACTAGGAAACCTTAGCCTTGTATGGCCTTTTCTGCTTTTCGTAGTTGATCCATGTTGATTGAGGAGGTTTCCACCAACCTGTCCATCAAACTGTCTCTGTAGGCAATACAGAATAGGGTTATATATTTTCCCAACTGTTATATATTCTCCTGATAAAAAGAATATGGGTTTGGCCTTCTGAAACCGCCTGAAGATCTGGCTTTGCCAACTGTCCAGGGATCCCAATGAGGGTGCATCATTTTGGAGGTGGTCAATAGACTAAGATAAGACCCCACCTCTCCCCCTATGTGCATGATGCTCCCTCCCTCCCTCCCTCTCCATCTTTGCCAATTTTATGCTAAATGAATGTTATTATTTATCATTTTAATGTTTTAATTGGGTTTCATGATTGTAAGCTGCCAAGAGTCACCTCCAAGCAAGAGGAGCAACATATAAGTTTAATAAATAAATAATAAAAGAAAGGAACTTACTGTCTAACTACATTGCAGCAGTAATAGCATTACATAAACCTGAACAGTTGGTATTTCACTGCTTAGGAAATGGAAACTTGGAGTCACGGAAGTGCCTTGTGGGGAAAGGAAACAGCAGAAAATGAGTAACAACTTCACTCAGGCCATTCCAGATAGCGGCCTATACAGTAGCTCTGCTATTGACAGTGGACAGTTTTTATGCAATCGCTTTTGATATTGTACAAGAACAATTTAACAAAACACACAGTTACAATTTGGAAGAGCCTTTCTTTTCACTGCTTGGAAATCTACAAATTATTTATAACACACTTAAATCAACATAAAGCAAACATCTGTCTGCTAAATATGATGGTGAAGTTTGGCTTTTGTGGCAAGAGAGTGAAAAAACAGTTCCTGCATGAAACTAGCACCAATGCAGTTATTTACCCGAATGATTTTACTAATGGAATTCTCATTCTTACCGAACTCTAGCTGTGATATTTTGTGAGAGAAATGAACTAATGCTGTGAAGAAAAACCATTTGAGATTGTTCCATTTTTTTTTAATCTTTTAGGGTTTGCCTTCAGAATTTCAGATATCTAGGAAAACGAAATATAGTAAGGTAATGTTTTATTTATCAAACAAGTAGCAAAATATTTGAAGTACATATGTAACTACAAGAAACTTTAGTATGTGTGTGTATTGAATCTAGATGAAGATGAGGATGAATTACAATGAATCCTAGTTCATAAAGTTCCAAAATAAATGCTTTTTGTGAATTTTCATTAAGTGCCCATAAACTTTTGCATAAGAACAGGCTGCAAGTATAAAACATAACTGACTTTAATGGAAGTTTAGTTTAATGAGATAAATAATATGGATTCTGTTTGGAAATCTTACTATAAAGTTTTCATAAGAATTCTTCGCTATGAGACCTATTTTCTAATAATAGAATATGATTCTGATATAAATGTCATATCGGTAATAGAATACAAGACCTTTTTTGATAAATTTTCCTAATATTTATAGTAATAAATGATATTATAATGCAGTTTTAAATTTTATTCTCTTTTATCAGGAAAATTGCTGCTGCAGTTAAGTTTGTTCAGACCACCCGGAATAATGGAACATTGAAAGGCTCCAGTTCATCCTGTCAAACCTCTGGACTTCTGCCACAGTGGTAAGATTTAACAAAATACATGGAGGGTTAATGCAAAACAGCCATGATGGCTCAACAGAGGCTAAGTATGTATATTGTTGTTGTACACCATTGAGAATCTGGAAGGATTCAACAGCAGGTAGAT